ACATTGTATAAAGGTATGGTTTTGAAATTTAAAGATTGTGTAATGTCAAATTATTGAGGATAATTATCAGCATGATCTGCTCAGCAGAAATATGGCACTTGCCTGTTACCCCACCTTGTACTATATATAAGACCCTAGATTTCTGTTCTCTGATTGAAATATCTAAAGCAAGCAGATATGTAATCCTTAGGAGAGCCATTTTTTTTTCAATATCCAGGTTTAGGTAAGTGATATAGCACTGTGCAAGCATTTTCGAGCCAAAGTCAACTAACTAAATCATTAAGAGACTCTCTAAAAACAAATTTACCTCTGTTTTGTAATCAACTTTTTATGTTATGGTGACAGAAAACTCATGGAACCTGAGCTTCTACCTAAACATTTTCAGTTCCAACATGTCACATCATAGAAGTGTGTTTTTTAAACCTCTGGTGTGATTTTTATCATTTACTGATTTCAATACAGTAGTATCTCCTTAGAACAGATAAAACCTTCATGCATTTTAATATATTCTACTGAAAGTATTAGACCTTTATCACTATGTCTAGAAAGAAATGTGTATTTGGAGGAATATTTCTTCTTTTTAATAAATCTGCCCCTATTCATGTTGCAGTGCCATTCCTCTAAATTTATATAGCATATTTTTCTAGCCTGTCCTAATGGCATTTGTTTTGTGATTGGCCTGTAATTTCCCAGGTAGTAATTACTTTACATACTAATTTGCTACACAGACACACACACACGCGCGCACACACACGCATTCACACATACACGTAATTTGCTTGCTTATATATTTATTCTGTATAAACATCCTGATATAGGCTACTTTTTCCTAACAAGTATTTTTACCACCCGTTTGTTAAAATCATGCAGGCATTCATTTGATTCATGCAGCTGGTGATAAACCAGCACTATTTGCAGGCCTCACACATGCATTTGGCTATGTCAAGAGACATGGTTCAGTTATAAGTGCATTGAAGCACACATTTACTTCTGAATCCCTGAGTGTTCTTGAGGCAAGCCACAGAGCTGTACTACACTGCTTCATAGATGAAACTCTACATCAATATTTTTCAGAGGTATGAATACATATAATTATTAGGTGATATTATATCCTGTTTCAAAGGCTATAAAAAGTAGATTTCTCAGATCAGAAAATGTGACACATTTACACATTAAGGATACTTTCTAATACTCTTATTCGCTCTGAAAATCTATGTAAATTGTAACTGCTAACAAGAACATTGATATTCACATATAATATAGCCTTACATGAGAATTTCATGTTTATATACAGAAGCAATGGATTCATGTATGTACTCAATGCATTCTGCATATTATGGTTTGAGATAAACACATACAAGCTAAAAGAAGACAAAGACTGTAGTATTGAAACAAATAACTTTTAAAGTTAATAAATAATTTTAGTTATAAAGATAATTACAACTTACTGTTATTTGGAAATAGAGGCTAGTAGCTACCACTTCTTTTACTTTCATTTTTTTCTTTCATTTTTTTTACTTTTGTGGATACCTAGTAGTTGTACATATTTATGGGATACATGTGATATTTTGATACAAGCAATGTGTCACACTTGAATCAGGGTAATTGGGATATTCATGACCTCAAGTATTTATCATTTATCTTTTATTTTATTTTTATCATACTATTTATCACTACTTGACATTTTCTTATTTACTATTTTTCGTATTGTCTATATCCTTCTAGAATATAAGTGCCATGAGAGTATGGACATTTTTTGCCCTGTTCAGTGCTTTATCTAAAATGTTCAGAAAAATTCCTGGCACGCAGTACTAATATTAAATTATAAAGAAAATAGAACGGGGTTCACAATTTTAGTTTCTGGAATTTTCCAATAGTATATGTCATTATTATTATTATGCTGTTTTTTAAAGCTATACTATCTATTTTACTTGGTTTTTGTTATTTTTAAACTTTATATATATGTGTGTATATTTATGTAGCATTATGTTCACATTCTTGTATTTTGAAGGAACAATAGAAAACTTAAAGATGCCTCAAAGAGATATAATATATAATACATTCTATTCCCCAAAGAGGTAAGAATAAAGATGGAGTAGGCAATACCAATACTAAAGAAAAGTCAGCAGGGAGTAGAGCATTTTTACTCGTGGGAAAGAGAACTACAGAAGAAATACTGCCTAGTCACTTAGTCAGTTGTTTTCCTGCATAAATCTGTCATAAGAAAGAATCAAAGATAATGTGTGAAAAAGTCCCACGTATATTACAGAAACATTTGAAAAGTTACTACTAGAAGTAGTGAGTAGGGTGAATTATAAGCTTATTTCAAGACCCTAATCTGGTAATGCAATCTCCCTGAACTGTAATTTTAAGGCTTTGATGGTTTTACTCCTACAATTTAAAAAAGAGAAGAGTATATCCAAAATATACAAAGAACTCTTAAAATTCAACAGTAAGAAAACAAACCAATTTAAAATGGTCAAAAGATCTGTTTTACCAAGAAAGATATTTGAATGTCAAATAAGCATATGAAAAGATGCACAACATTTATCCGTAGGAATTCGCAAATTATAACAACAATAAGATGCCACTATACAACTATGAGAATGGCTAAAACAAAGCAGAACAAATAAACAAAAAAAAACCCTGACAATACCAAAATCTGGCTCTGGTGCAGAGCAACAAGAACTCTCATTCATTACTGGTAGGAATGTAAAATGGCATAGTCACTTTGGAAGAGTTTGAGTTTCTTACAAAACCAGAAATAGTATTTTCATGTGATTTAGCAATTGCATGCCTGCATATCTTTTGTGCATTTACACAGTGATGAAATATTCCATGTTAAAAAGAAATGAGTAATCAGGTCACCAAAGGATAAGAATAAATCTTAAATGCATATTGGTAAGTGAAAGAAGCCAGTCTGGAAAATGTCACATAGTGGATGATCCAACTACATGGTTTTCTGGAAAAGGCAAACTATAGAAACCATAAAAAGACCAGTTGTTTGCCAAGAGACCAGGGAGACGGGGGAGGTAAAAAGTAGAGCATAGGGGGACTTTAGGGTAGTAAATCTATACTCAATGATGCTTTAATAGCAGATACATGGCATTTTGCATGTGTCAAAACCCTCAGAGCTTTACGGTACAAAGAGTGAACATTAATAAAGAAAACAACCATTTAGAAGGTCAAGGAATCCCAGGAAAGATGCAGCTTGAGAAATTAGAATCTAAGTGTATTGCAAATGTATGAAACAGCCTCATTGAAGAGGGTCAGGCTGGGGAGATACTGACGTAAATAACTTCGAAAAGAATGAAATCCATAAAGGCAAAAGGAAATTCACATAAACCTGTATCACCGTTGTCAAAATTACTTTTCATGGGAGTAGAGCCTCATTCTGATACTGCTTTTTGGGGATAATAGAATTGATCAATTAAGTAAATGGATGATACATGGTGGGAGGTGGGATTCTCACTGCTGAAGTGAATTTACAGATAAGCAAGGAAAGGAGGCTAAAATAATCCATGTGGTAATGAAATCAATTTGAAGCCCTAAGTACATGTGTTTAACCTAATACAGGTGGTTGCATAGAGAAATACTTTAGATAATCATGCATACACAGGTTAGTATACACATAGGGATTTCTCTGTCCATTTAAACGAGAGGACCTGTAAGAAATGACACACCAGTAGCAACGAGCATGCCTAGTGCTCAGATCTTAGTTTCTCCAAACGTTCTTTAATATAAAATGAGCCGTGGGACCTAAGAATGGCTGATTATAGAGCTGTGATAGTCAATATACAAAATGTGTCTGTAGTACTTTGTGCTTCTAAAAAATTCTAAACACACACATACACACACACACACACACACAACTTTGATTGGGAGTATGTCAAAGGAGCACAAGAGGAAACTAAAGAGCTCCTAATGTCCAAAGTGCAATGCTAGAATAATTTGAGCAACTAAATAAATAAAATAGTATTAGATTATAAGTCAACATATAAAATGGATATTCCTGAGTCTCTATATTTACAGTAAATTATTGAACAAATTGAAAGAGGGAATTCAAAATCTCCCATGCAGAATAATATTTCTAAATAACTTATGTAGGCCCTCCGTCCTCACGGAGGAGAAGCACAACTCCTCACTTGTTAAATGTGTGCTGCACAAAGTAACTTCCTTCCAGAGCTCAGCACAGAAACAGGATAGAAAAGGGGTAATTTTACAGTGCAGAAAAATGACCAACACCTTCTCAGCCAGGTGATAAAGGTCAACATTAACAGTTATAAATCACGTTGTTAGTTTGCACTCTTCACATAATGCGATGAATATGGCACTTTATTTCTCTGACCTTTTCCCCCAAACCCATAACCCCAATCCAATCATGAGAAAAACAAATTCCAATAGAGGAACATCCTACAAAATTCTTGACCACTACTCCTCAAAGCTGTCAAGGTCATCAAAATAAAGTCTGAAAAACTGTCATAGCTAACAGAAGCCTAAGGACAGATGGCAATTAAATTTAATGTGGTGTCCTGGATGGGATCTCTTAACAGAAAAAAAGGACATTAGGGGGAAAACTAATGATATGAGAATAAAGTCTAGACCAGAGTTAATAATAATGTATCAACATTGGCTGACTAATTGTGACAAATATCTTGTACTAATGTAAAATGTTACTATTATGAGAAACTGGGTACAGGGTAAATGGGAACTCTCTGTACTACTTCTCCATTTTTCTGTAAACATAAAATTTCTAAAAAATCCAGTGTATTTGTAAATAGTAGGTAGAAGATAAATGTCACTCAGGTAACTAGGATGCTATTTTTGAAGCTGAATAACTTATTTTCTAAAATACTGAGTAACGTTAATCAAAAGATTATGATGCATCATTGTTTACCCTGTGAGCTCCATGTGACTCTATTCCTGAGTTGATCACCAACTCAATAATTTTTCTTATGTTGAAACTTGCAGAGCCTAATAACGTACATATTTTCTTTTAGATTCCAGCATTAAGCACTGTGCAGTTTTGAGAGAAGTTATAGAGCAAAACTGACTTGAGTAACCACCAGCCCAACCTTCGGGACTTTGTGGGGATTGCTGTGGCTCCCCTGGACTTACAAGCAATAGTGATGCAGAACCTGCCATCAGTATGTGTAATGCTTGTCAAAAAATAATCACCCAAGTAATGTTTTAAATTTTACTGGTCAGTACACTACCAATACTAGTTTTGGCATGGCAGATACTAAATAACAAAGCTTTGTTTCGAATAAATGTTTGTTCAGTTTCTACTTTTTGCTAAATCCCGTGATGATGTGCTCCCACTTGATAGCATGTTATACTGTACTAGTAAATTTTACTTGCTGTTTAACAAAGGAGGATTAAATGAATGGTGTGCTACAGTGGGTATACTGACAGGAAAGGCATGAGAAAAAACTATCTAAATACAACTGAGGGAAGAAGTAAGTGTTGAAGGGAAGGTGAAAATGTGCACTGAGATTGGATGGGTGAGTAGGACTTCAGAGAGTGGAGAAGGCTCTATGGCTTTTTAATGGAAACAATAGCATGAGATAAATATCAGGGCTATGGAAATGCATACTGCACCGGGGCAATGTTTGTAAGTCTGAAATGGTTGAAGAATACGGTTTAGGAAGAGATACAGTGAAAAATAAAGCTTAGAACTGAGACAAACTGTCTCCAGCCCTGGATTCTCAGTTATTCCATTTGAAACCTAGTAATATAAACAACTTGAATGCATTACAAAAGTTTTGATCTGACTTGGGCTTTGGAAAGAGATTTCTGACTTTCTGTAGCTCAAAACTATAAGCAGCTTATATTTCTTCTTTACTCCTTTTTTTCTAAAATAAGGATAATGATACCCATCTGACAGAAATTTTATGAGCATAATGTAAAATTAAACATGGAATCCATGGCGCTTTACAAAATAATGTGTATTGTCTCTCCACAGAATGAAGGCGTATTTGATACTATTAACATAGAAGTCTTGAAAATAGAAAAAAACACTTCTTGGGTGGTGAAAACTTTCCAGTATGGTAAAAGTTAATTAGAATTTGTGTGAATTATACTGTATAATTACCAAGGCAAGCACAGTAATATGAATTTAAAATAGTAAGAGTAAGATTAAAGGCATATAATTTAGTTCAAATGTGACATCTTGACAACCTGCAAAAATTGCTTGAAATGAATGGTTCTTAATATTAAGAAATATAATAAGGATTGATTATTTAATAATTTAGATAATTTACATAAGAGTTATTGCAATGTGGGAACAGTGTTCTTGTTAACTGGTTATATTGTGTAGTTATGTTACCGACTACAAAAATTTAAACTAAGGGGAAAGAATCACTTTACTCTCTTTTCATGTGAACTGACATCACTGTCACTGTATTGTTATAGTTGTAAAGCCTAATATTTTGTAAAGTAGAAAACATAATCTCTAGGTGTTATGTGGTTCCCTGATTTAATCTAGTCCTGCTGTACTATCCCTTATTATTATTATTTTTAACCCTGTTTATTTTCCTTGTGTCCACAATCTTATACTTAACATTTTTAAAAACTTAAAGTTT